AGTGAGGATCTAATGAAGAAAGATGTCAAATATTCACTCAATACTGTGCTTAAGTTAATAAGACTTGGAATTTCCTTAAGCAGTTTGAGTTATCTCCCCTTTACCATATGACTTGCACATTTACATTTGTTTTGTATATAAGTTGTGTCCTTTTTTCAGTTTTTCATATATGCTGATTCATACAAATGCATGTGGGGGAGAACTGTTAAAGGCATAACCTGTTGTTGATCCCATTCCGACACCATCATAAATACAATTTATTGAAATATTTAGAACAAAATCGAGACAGAAGTATTGGCAGTACTAAACTGATCCTACATTGTATATGACTAGGAATGATGAAATACCTTACACGCATATCCCTTTACAGTATTACTTTGATAGTTTATTCATAGAAATCGTTTTCTAAAGGACAAGTCTATTTTGTATGTAGACACACCGTGGTGTTTATTTACCCACTGTAACGTCCAGTGCACATTACAATAATATCCCCACCGACGTATGATCATAGAGGACAAGCGATACCTATTACATCATTTATATTGACATATCAGAGTATCTGTTGATACATGTAACACTCCACTGTTTAGGCTATATGTGTTGAAAATGATAATTTGTTTTACTGTCGTCTTGTTTATATTCTTAAACATGATTAGCTCTAATGAAAAGAAAGAAAGAGGCATGTTTAAGGTATAAACATTTCTTAAAAGGAATATTATTCACAAAACTATTTACACTAAAGGATTTATGCTAAAAAAAACAGTTATGGCCGGTGTATGAATCGACATGAGCACCCCTCCTTTCGATTTAACATATTGTCCGTTTCAGGTACATGTGTAGTAATGGATAATTCTAAATCCAGCATAAACTGATACCACAACAATAAAATTAACATATTTTCACTATTCAGCAGGACCATATTTCTTCATTATCATGTGATGTACTTATTAGGTCTGTTCAACAATATGCCTCGTTTTGAGTTTCGTATGTCGGTTATATAGCTAGGACAAGGGACAATGAGACACAGATAAGTGAAAGCTGTATAAGAGAAAACCGATCAAAACAGGTTTACCGACACAATTTTCTCTCTGAAAATAAAATGCAATTTCATTTTGATTGACACATTAATCATAATAATGAATTAACTTTTCTTGCCAAAGAAACCGTCGGATTATAATCAGAATGTACCTCATGCCTTCGACATATATAAAGTTGTTGCCAGTCGAAAACTGCATAATATATCCAGGTAAGTTTAGACATGTTTACGGCAGGCAACAGAACAAAATTAATAATACTGAACAATGCACTGCAACCTTATCAAATTACCGTGTAATTTTGTAGTTTAGTAGAGCAGAGCATTTACTACCTCATTGTATACCTGTGCGCTTGCGATAGAACAGACACAAATCTCCCGCTTTTTACGATACACAGTATATGTATAATGGAGGTGTGTACTATCTGGCTGTTGGAGGCTCTGTGTATCTTATCAACTTTAATGATTGTCAACACATCAGGTATGATTGGATGTGCATTTTCTGTTTATCCTTCATTCTAATAGTAAACCTATACGTCACGTTGATCTGGACCTACATGTACATCCCGTAGCATAAGCCCCATGTGTTTTACCATAGAACACATTGCTTGTATAGAAGGTAGGGGTAAATATATAGATTGTACCCGATGTTCATGTTTCAAACTTCCGCGTTGAGTTGTTGTGACATAGCATCAAACGGTATGCATTTATTTCAGGATATGTACATAGACAATATACTAGCTGTGTTTCAAATATTGCTCTCAATGGTGATTTGTCGCTATTGTTCTTTCTTTTGTATTATCATTGAGCGATTGATATGATTATACATCACTGTTCGCAAGCCAATGCCAGTAAAACATCAGTATTTCATAATCGGTATGAACCAATATATTCAACCTACAACTGATTTGTATGCATTAACCGAGGGGCTTATTGTCTTTATATATTAGAAGTATCATATTATATCTATTTGGTGTTTACGTAAGGTAAGTGTTCTGTGTTTTTAAGGAGCAGATTTCTCCGAAAAGTTTACGACCTCATATTGTTTACACTGTATACATTACTTCCTTGTCTCATTGGTCTCCTAAGTAATAACTATGATCAAATTGGATACTGGATCCGAACAACTTCAAAAGATATATCTGCACGTTTTTTCAAGACGGAAACATGAAGATATGCATATCATTTAAACAGTCACAATGAGACAATATCACAAAAAGAAATAAACCAAAACAGAGTAGTTAGGTATGTGAAGCATGCTGTTGTAATTGCATATCACCTCGGTTAGCTTGTAACCGAAGCCTTATTATTGTTCAAAATTCATCTTGAATACGTGAGGTCAATGAATTAATACAAACAATCTTAATAAAACTAGTAAGATTTTTTGTTGTTGTAAGTGTTCGTGTAGACAGGGCGCCTCTGCAGACATTACCCATACCACCATGTACGCAAGTAATCTGTTAAATCATCTAAATGTACCTTTCTGCAAAAATCTCAATATAAACAGGTTATCTTCTTACTTTTTGTTTCGTATGTTTATATTTTGTTTTTGTTTTTGTGCCATTTTTTTTTCCGTGGAGGGCATCGTTTATGACTTCTTTTTGGCGATCATTTTGCTGGACAAAATTGTCGTACAGATTCAATTGAATTCTCTTTTCAACATTTTGTTTTTTCTTAACTTACTTTTACAATGATATTAATTATAATTTACAACGATTATAATAACATTTGGTATAAACTTATAACATCCGACAATTCCAATCTTTGACCTCTGTTTAGTACCTACTTGAGTTGCAGTAACCCCGTCTGCCATTTTGATTTACAGACATACCTCTTCTCGCGATTGTCTTCATGCCGTGCTTACACGAACAGCTACGGCTATATGTTTTCTCTCTAGCTTTACTCACATTTTCTGTTCAATTGTTACCTGATATCACGTCTTCAAGATGATTGCTTAACCATAATTAGGCAACNACAATGATTAGTACTTTAGATCAGTCATATATATATATATATAGATATACAATAATAATTCATTATTTTACAGTTAACACCAATCGTGAGCCAAATGTCAAAATCACCACTCAAAGTTCAAACTTCAATGCTGCATATAGTAGTGGCAAGGCAGTAGATGGCTGTAAAAAACAAATCTTCGACAAACAAAGCTGTTGTTCACACACACAAACAGGTCAACAGGAGGCATGGTGGCAAGTAGATCTAGAGGAACTGATCGTTATGGAATACGTCAAAATATACTTCAGAGGTGAGTAATTGTATATTTTGATTTTGTATTGAACAATAAAACAAAATTATGCCGTCTAAAGGTTTTCCGTGTTAGTCGTGACCTTAAGACGGCACTGCATTGTTTGATTGCATGTCGTGAAAGATGACTAATGTAACTCCACTCCATCCTCATCCCACCAGTATTCATATGGCACTGGTTATTGCAAAGTCGATGATCCCGGACCTGAGATCATTGACATTCAAAAACTATATTTACATAATTAGGTATAGAAGGACATTTTATTTTAGCTATGCATGGTTTAACGGCCCGTTAGGTCTACCCCGAGAATGATAAAAACAACGAGGATAATGATATCTTGACATCATTTAACATAATAACACAGAAAGCAAAATGCAATGTACATACAATGACGTATATCGTATACAATAGACATGTCAGGTTGTCTATGTTGTTCGTAATGCTTTCTATCAAGTCGACATTCTGACTGTTGAATCGTTTCTACACCAGAGGTTTTTTATAAGACTGTTTTGTATCGACCCTGATTGAATTCTTGATTATCAACGACGGACTGTTGTGTATAATACTGGTATTGCAAACCTCAAGTGTTCTGACTCAGTTGTCGGTGTATACGTTAACACAAGCCAACGGTCGATACATGTGTGGGTACTTCTGTGCGTGTACCTACGGATAGGAGGTGTGACAAAGCCAAGCCTTGTTAGGCACACTTGTATTAAAACAAATACTGATGAGAACAACCAACATGTAATCAATGAGTCCTCCCTTTATACATGCTTTAATGTGATATATCAATTTAATGGAACGTAATAAAAACATAACCAATAAAAATGATAAGGGCAAAAAGGAAAGTGTTACAAAGTAGGGCGTCAAAAAATGGTTGAAATGGAAATAAAAATATAGCGATACCGCACGTAAAAATGTATGCTGCAGAAGTTTTATCCCAAAAAGAAAATGAAATAAAAATCCGTGTTTCCTCATGATGTTTCTGCATTGGTCGCTTGTCACAGAAAACACGAAAATAGTCCTGTGTAAAAACAGTATATACGCATAAGCTCTAGTGGATAATCTTGTTTATCAAACTTAGATGAAGGGTATCAGCAAAAACAACAATTTGGTGGCTATCAAATATACCAGTCGAACACTTCGGATTGGCGGAACGGTCACCTTTGTCATAAAGACACAACATCAACGCCGGCCACGTTATCATTGACTCCCCAGATACAATGTACAGGTAGCGCCAAGTACCTGACGATATACAGCGACAGACGGTCAGGAGGTCTAGCGTGGTACTCTAATAGCGCTTTTCTGGCGCTTTGTGAGGTAGAAGTGTACGGTACGTAGCTGACATATTTAACCTTAAAACGTTGTATCCACATTAGTAGAGAGTATTGAGGGATAATGAAACTTTCAGAAGTTGAATTTTAGACAAAGATGAATATTCATGAAACACTATCTAAGATAAATGGTTAACCATATTATCATTTTTGTAATATACTTAAAGTATCTGTTCAATTTTATATTTTTGTTCAGTTACAGAATTGGTGTTTTCCATTTCAGTACTCATCTTTGCCATTTATTAATGTTTGTATATCTACAAGTCAGTGAGTTATTTTGCAATTAAAAAGTTAGTATACATTTCTGTGCATCATTATAACGTTGTGGAAGATGTAACATATACAGAAATGTGTGCATCCAAGGTATTTGGCCAATGGTAGAACAATTCAAATTGGTTAAATATAGTTTATTATTTATTAAAATGATAACAGATGGGCTGATGTCCAAACTCGTATGCTACTGTATTTCAGGTTGTCCGCTTGGGAAATATGGTGATGGTAATTGTTATTCAGATTGTGATGTAGGTTGTGCCAATAGCCTGTGTGATCCAGTGACCGGAGGATGTGCATGTAATTACATATATCTAAAGATAACGTATTGTCTTTGCTTTGGCGTCGTATAGGCTTTCGGTAAAGTGATGACATATGGATATGTCTTATCATACTAACAATATATTATCATGTTCATTATAACATTTTCTTATTCAAGTAAATCAACATATGGTAAGCAGTATTCAAAATACATGTCTACTTATAATATAAAATCATTGTAGACAATGCCTCAAATACATATATACAATAGGTACACATTTCCATTTCAGTACTCATCTTTGCCATTTGTTTATCTAGAAGTATAATAAAACGCACAAGGGCAAGAAAATGATGTAAAACATTTAAAAAAAAAAATGAGGTATTTAGATCTTCGTGTTGTAGGCCAAAAGTAATGTATTAAAATTATTTGTTCAAATTTGATATTATTGACTAAATTTCTAAATGTAGTTGAAGATAGAACACGATACAATTGTATACTTATTTGAAAAAGAATACAATTGTACTTGGAAAATCGTATTTGTGTTTTATTCAAGACTGCATGTTCTTGTACTTATTGTTTGAACATATACCTAATATATCGGGCCTGGTTTGGTCAAGTAAAGAGAACGATGTATTTATTTAGTCTCCATTGACTGCCGGTGTTGTGTTTTAAGCATGCAGACATGGATATTTTGGTGATACCTGCAACATAAGCTGCCCGTCCAATTGTAAAAGGGATATATGTTATCAGGCCTTTGGGATATGTACAGGTATGGTGATATGTAAGGCCATTGACGGAAGTAAAAACATTTAATTATTTTTTTCCCTATTTATTAGTTTGAAACGTGAAATGGTCGGTTACACATAAAAAAACATTAATTATAAATATTATGATATCTATCCTTTATTGCACTGACTACTGTAACATCTAGGTTTTGCTGCATTAAGTATCCGTTTTAAGTGTGTATAGCAATACATTTAGGACATTTAATGGTGATCATACATGGTGTACAATCATAACGAAACGTTCTTAACGAAAGCCATAACCGTTATCTCAATAGCATTGTTAGTCCTTTAATCCCAAAATTTGATTATCCAGATACAGTCTATCTGAGACGGTTAACATGTGTTCAGAAAGATATAATGATGAGCTTGCGTAAAGATATTCTCAGTTTATTTATCGCAAACTATATCGCAGTTAGAAACTTGATATCATACGTCAAACGGATACTTTAAATGTACATTATTAACACACGCAAGGCAAATATAATTGCCACAATATTTAAAAAAAAAATTAAAAAAATGTGTGAATATTACTGCAACGAGACGTTAAACATGTATTTGTTTAATTGTGTTTAGAATGTGCACCCGGGTTGTATGGCATTGACTGTAAGAAGAATTGTCCGGCACACTGTCGAGACCCACTATGTGACAGAAGTAACGGGGATTGTTCAGGTATAATGATGCTCACAAACAGTCATATTTTTCTATTTGCCAATCACTTTTTAATTTTAGATAAGGGTACATTTAGCACGTTTTATGTATTAACAGTTTCATTTTTTGATCGGTTATGAAACATGGTCGCTGTGGTTTATAAACGACTGACAAATTTATGGGTGGAGGCCAACGCGATGCTAATGGTCCTTTACTATTTCTAATTTTGCCAAAAATTATTATGTGAGTCCAATATGGCATTGGAAATTCTGTCGAATGCACCACGATTTAAACTTGTTTACTATTTTTACTATGAATAAGAGGGTCAATGTCACGCTGGGCCTGGGTAGTCCTTTTTCTCGAGCTCCGACAAAAAAAGGTTTTCTTTTAATTTATTACACGTTTTGTAGTATAGTTTTTAGATTACATACTACATAAGTGATTAGTTTATCTCTTATATGTATCTGTTTTTTGGAATTTTCGATGGAAATGTGTGTTTTGGACGTTTTGAGTTAGGACAATGGCCTGCTACCCTACCAAGTGACTACTGCTCACATCACACTCTACTATAGCTACATGGACTTGTATATGTTGACTTGATATATGTAATACTAAGTGGAAACCATGGCTAGCAGAAAACACAGTACGGGAGGACCAGCCGGTGTTAAGACCAGGGCAGCGGATAAGAATATTGAGGACAGACCCGATGATATTTCATCCTTGTTAACTACATTCATTACAAAGGCAGACTTTGATTCCAAGATAAAGAATTGGTTGAAGAACTCAAAGGGAGAGTGTTCCAATTGGAAATGGAAACAGAGAATCTCCGTCTGACCATTGGAAACCTGGAGACCCAGGTCGGTGATCTCCAGTGTTCTAAGGACGCTATAGAAGCACGTTATAACTATTTGGAACAGCACGGCCGTATTGATTCACTCAGAATACACGGACTTAAGGACACATCTGATTCAGAGACTGTGGGGGAATGTGTGGACATATTCCTGAACTTTGTGTCTTCCAAACTTGAGGTGCATATTACTAGTGGGGACATTGACATTTCTCATCGTCTTGGAAAGTTTAACCGGGAAAGACCGAGAAACATCATCGTCAAGTTTACGCATCGAAGAAAAAGGAACGAGGTCATCAAAGCCCACTCAAAATTGAAGAAGACTGGATAAATGGTTTTCGAGAATCTCATGAAGATCAACCAGCAGATCATCAATGACGCGTATTCACTTCAGTGTGTGAATAACTCATACAGTACGGACGGTAAGTTTTTCTCTATACCGACTGTTGGTAGAAAGAGAATGCTCCAGTTTTGCACACCACTCACATACAGTTTTCTTGTGGAAGATTTCAACTTTGTGTAAATATGTGTATTTAGCGCATAGTGATCGGTAATGGACTAGGACGATGTTGGTGCCAGGAAGTACCCTGAATTTACCGATATTACGACAGTGTTTGGACAGTGTTTACATTTGTGTGTCTGTGATTGTGTCATTTCTTTTGGATAATTTACAGTGAGTGTTTTGCTTAATCGAGTGTATGGTATGGAATCTATTATTCTTATACTCCGGTAAGTCTACGTTTCATTTATTTATTTGATTTATTCTTACAGTAATATTAACTGCTTTTGTAAGGAGTTATTGACTACTAATTATATATATATATATATTATATATATATAAATATATCTCGAAATGTATATGTTGATAGACATTTATATCTATAGACATGCCTCCATATCTTAATTATTATTTTTTACAATATATACAGTACAATGTATATGCTACTGACGTTTCCGGATTTTTTGTCTGATAAGTTTAAAAGCCTCAGCTATACCGCTCCTTGCAATCCAATCTTTTCCCTCTCTTCCCTTATGTTTCCGGAATTTTATAACATTTTATAACAGTCTACCTTATCCGATAGTTACTATACTACTTCCGGTGTTGTACTTACCTCCTGTCTTCAGCGAACCCATCTGCAGACATGGTCATCTATCTCAGGTATTCTTATTATCATAAGGAAGAAATAACTTATGACTGTGCTGTAGGTGGTAGTATCTATGAAATGACCACTTTAATTTTGTCTTTTATGTTTTCTGTTTTTCTTCTTTTAATTTCTTTATAGATCTTTGGNTGCCTCCATATCTTAATTATTATTTTTTACAATATATACAGTACAATGTATATGCTACTGACGTTTCCGGATTTTTTGTCTGATAAGTTTAAAAGCCTCAGCTATACCGCTCCTTGCAATCCAATCTTTTCCCTCTCTTCCCTTATGTTTCCGGAATTTTATAACATTTTATAACAGTCTACCTTATCCGATAGTTACTATACTACTTCCGGTGTTGTACTTACCTCCTGTCTTCAGCGAACCCATCTGCAGACATGGTCATCTATCTCAGGTATTCTTATTATCATAAGGAAGAAATAACTTAAGACTGTGCTGTAGTCGGTAGTATCTATGAAATGACCACTTTAATATTGTCTTTTATGTTTTCTGTTTTTCTTCTTTTAATTTCTTTATAGATCTTTGGTTTCCCTCTACTTATTTCTGGGATGGAACAAATAAACTCGTTCTCAGGTCACAGCTATGGCACAGACACAATTTGTATCGGCTAATAATCAGGGCTTGGTAGACACAGTTAAGCGTAAAGATGTGTTTTCTTATCTTTGGTCGACAATAATGCTAGTGCTGTTATTAATCAGGGAGATAATCTGTCTTCATTTTTCAAGTAAAAAAGGCTGTCGTCAAGGGGACCCGATTGCTCAATATAAATATATTCTGGTGCTGAAATGTTAGCTATAAAGCTATCAAAACAATAAGAAAATTAAGGGCATTAATGCTGATAACTGTTCTATACTTCTATCACAATATGCAGATGACACTGCACCTGCACTTAATGGTACAGGAAGAACACTGCAGGAAGCTATTACTGAACTTAATTTCTACATCAAGTATATCAGGATTAAAAATAAATATTTCAAGAACTCAAGTGTTTTTTATTGGAAATAACAAATTTAGCTTAGATAAATTCCTTCCAGAACTTGACTTACAATGGGGTAGGGAAAACTTCACACTTCTTGGCATTGCATTTTACATTTATTTACATGAGATACCTAAACTGAACTTCGATAAAAGAAACTTACAAAAATTAAATCACTCTTCAGATCATGGAATAGGAGAATATTAACACCAATAGGTAAAAAAAAAATCATAAAAAATCAATTTTGGTTTCACAATTTAATCATTTATTTATCTCACTGCCAAACCCAGAGGAAACGTTTATTTGTAAGTATAATTCTATACTTTATGATTCTTATGGAACAGTAAAGTGGATAAAGTAAAAAGAGAAATTGTTATTCAAGACTACATTAATGGTGCAACATCAAAACTTTTAATAGACTCACTCAAATTAGGTTGGATTAGAAGTTTTTTCAATGTACATCTAAATGGCAAGCAATTTTAAAAGCATATGTTAACATAGTCATGTTGGCGAATTGTGGTTAAGATTATACAAAGCTGTGTGAAAATAAATGTAATAACTTGTATCTGGCAAATGAAATAAATATTAACAAAAATGGGGTATACTTAAAGACAATATCACAGTGTTCTTTCTGCAGTAAAACATTTCAACTCTAATCCAGATTTTCCTAAATTGAAATTGATATGTCCCTTTATTCCTGTACACTAAGAACCATTCTTTAAAACGTCTAAAGGTTCCAAACATTTCTATAGTATCCTGGTAAAACATAACATTGTTCCATCAGGACCGAAGAAATGGAATAGAGTCTTTGATTTTAGTAACTTTTCTTGGCATCAGATTTTTAAGCTTCCCTTTGCTATAACTACTTATAAAAAAATTCAGTGGTTTCAGTATAGAATAAATCACCATATTCTGACAACATATTCTTTCCTATTAAAACTCTAATAGTTGTATATCCTATGTGTACACTTTGCAATTCTGAGATTTAAACTATTACCCATATTTTATGGGAATGTCAAGAGGTTTAGAAACTTCTTCTCAGTTTTGAAACTCTTTTAGATGCACTAATTATTCATTTTGATTTCATTAAAGAATCTTATATATTTGGACTTCTTACACAAAATGTGAATGGTAGAATTGATAATGAGATACTCATTATAATTAAACACTATATATATATTAAATGCGTCTTCTTCATAGCTCCTTAAATATAAATGTCTTGGTTAACACAATTAAAGACTACCATAATATACAAAGATTTATAGCAAATAGCAAAGGAGACACTTATAGAGAGAAGTTTGAAAAGGAATGGGAAAAAAATGGGAAAAGCTTTTGTTTTGTAAAAATAATATTCTGATATCTGTCTCCTGGGCCTTGACATAAATTACAGGATCAATCATTTTCTTCCATTTCATTTCTTCATAATATTGTGCTCAACACTTTATTAATCATCCCCCCCCTATCTCCCTATGTCTCTCTCTCTCTGTAAATAAAAATAATAGCCCCCCCCCCCTCTCTCTCTATGTCTCTCTCTCAACTGATTGATGTAAATTTGTTTACTGTTTATAGTAGCTTTTCAATTTTTGCATTTCTTCGAATCTTTGCTTGTTTGTGTTTGTGTATTTAAAAGTGTGCGTGTGGGTGGGTGTGAGTAAGGACGATTTTGTACGGATGGCGGGTAAAGAATAGAAAGATGATGTGTTAATGTAAAACTACACAAGTGTTAACTGTTGTGATGCAACTGAAAAAAAAGATGCAGGTACTTATATTTTACATGAAATCAATTCATCATACCTGATTGAACGGCTGATGAAGAATGATTTATTTAATGATCAATGATGAATATAAGTAATCGTGATAATGATGTGTAATCATATAAGGATAATGATAAAGATGATGAATTAATGATTGATGATAATTAGGGATACAAGATGTACGTTGGCTGATGAGGAATGACTGATCGATTAATTGGATGATGATGATGGTGATAATGATGAGGTGTAATGATATGTTGATGATTGTATATAAAGAACGATAAATGATGATAACGATGGGTAATTATGTGAGGATGATGAAAGCGATGATGATGATCTTATGTTTTGTAATTGTGTAATATGATGATCAATTAAGAATGATGATAATTACTGATCCATGATGTTGACTGAAGAAGGGTGATTGATCGATCAATTGATTGAATGACTGAGTTGAAATTATGAGTGTTAGTTAACTTAATTCAAATTGAAACAGTAAAATGTTAACAATCAGCGATGGTTTTATTTACCATGTCCTTATCCGCTCTGCGTCTTTATTTTTACATGCTGATTTTTTCCTGCCACCTCGGATCCTCTCCACACCAAAAAAATGTTCATTCGCTTAGGTAAAATCGTTACAATAGTTTCGTATGCAATATTTCGCACATGGAAATTTTTAACGATTGAAATAACAAAAATGGAGTTTAGGCGTCACATATATGTGTACTTTCAACTTGCCTGAACGGCTTTTATGGGATTAAGTGTGATCGGCTATGTTCCCCTAGTTGTGAAAACAGCATATGCACACAATATGAAGGGAAATGTACAGGTATGATAACTTTGTCATTGGAAGACATTTTTGACGTATTCTTTAATATTTTTGCGTGTATATTAAAAATGTAAGGGCAAAAAAAGGATGTTATACATTTCTACAAATCTAATCAGAGATAGTTTTCTTTTCTTTTTGTATGTTTAAAGTTATGTGGTAAATCTATTTATATAATTTCTTATGTTTGATAGTTTTAAAAATACCAGAAGATAAACACAATACTATTGTATCTTCATATCAAGTGATTAATTGTGAACACATTATTTATTACATATTATTTATGGTAAATTCAAGCCTCCATCCCTTTTAACAAAATCTAGTTTGAACATATACCTTATCTATCCTTTTGTTATAAAATAAACGTTGTATGTATTTTACCTCAAATGACTGCTGATATTGTCATTTTAGTATGCGAACCTGGATATTATGGTGATACCTGCACCACAACCTGCCCGTCCAATTGTAAAGGAACTATATGTAATCAGAGCAGTGGGTTATGTACAGGTATGTTGACAATTCTTGGTACAGACAATGATACAATAGTAAAATAAAATCATTATAAGTTTTCCCGTGCATTATTTCGAATCCTTAAATGATCCGTTCAAACAAACAAGAATTTATCCTCAAAATCTTGGATCTCTATTCTCAATTGTAAGGGTTATATTAAGGTTTTTGCTGCATTCAGCAAACGTCTTTAGTATGTATATAAATAGCCGCTTTCTACTGAAAAAAAAGATAAAACAAAGCCGAGGAAAACTACGATGATCTTGTCGGCTATTTTAGCGGAAGACTCATTAATCATCAGGCATTTACTGGTGATCATAAATGGTGTACAATCTTAACGAAACGTTGTTACGTTTTTAACGAAAACCATCACCGACATCTCAATAGCGTTGTTAGTCCTTAAAAACCGAATATTGCTTGACCAGATGAATTTTATGGAAGACGGTTGTAAAGTGTTCAGACAGATATCAGTATAATCGTGCATGTATTTTCTTACATAGATGCAATATTATATCAAATGCTATCGCCATTAGATATTGATATTGGGATAAAGGAATTTTACTGGAACTGTAGATAAAATCAGCTAGATGCAGCACCTGTCATAATGAACCAATCAAAACATAACGCTGATATGATAGCGTAAATAAGATGAGAGTTGGGTGATACTAGTAGTCAATCTTAACTTCTCAGTTTATCGTCGAAACATAAGTTCATGCGATAGTATTTTGCAGCGTAGAATATTACGTTTCAGAGACTTGGAATTCCTTTTGGAATAGTAAACCAGAAAGAGGAATTGAGTTTGAGGTATAGCAAGTTTCTGATTCCGTTCGACCAAATCTGTATTCTGGAACACAGTTATGCCCAAGTTTACCAAAGACTTAATATATTACGTCCATTAAAAGTAGGACCATTTAACTACATATCATAATCACACCGATTCCACAAACCAAAAAACAAAAAGGCGTATTTCATTTTACAGCCTGAAGCAAGGAACACATCATTGGTCAATGAAAATGGTATATACAAATTGCTGCATCGAGACAATAAATATTATCAATCGGCACACGATTTTGTAATATTTGTATTAATTATAACATTGACAACAAAACACCGAGAATGTGTACTAGAAGTTTTGACTATCGATGTTTTCAGATAAGTTTGAAGTAAAGGGGACTTTATGGTCATTTGTGGCATCTTTCTTTTCAGTCGTTCATGTGAATTAAATATATGATAATCTGCGTAGCCGAGGTTAATCTCGTAAACAACCTCTATAAATGAAACAAATAGGATGGGTAGCATATTCAGTGGTAACACAAATGTAAGTATCTGTAACACCTCTGAAATAGATCGTAACTTTCACGGACTTGTCTGACATAATGTCGCAACTAGCTATGTGTCAGAAGTTGCTGGAAATGTTCAGGTACGATGATGCTCAAAATCAGTTTTCTATTTGCTAAGTATTTGACTTCGTTGGTGATTAGACTAGTGCTTGTTAAATACGTAATATATATGTAAAAGTTTCATTTTCCGACCAGGTATTTGCCAATTTCCTAACTTTTGCAAGTGACTCGTCTGTTCTTTGCTCCTTTTTCAATTTGTCTGTGTTACCAACATCCTTCCTAACCTCTGGAACAGTAAGATGTATGTAACCCTGTTTTCTTCTCTGCAGTTGTTGTCGTCTCAACAGCATGCATTGTAGCTTCGTTCTTTTGTTGCCACGTTACATCGGGTTGATCCGGTGGTAGGGCACCTTCCACATCTCCTATTGTTAGATCATAAAGTGGCGTCTTTAGGACCCATGCATCAGTAGTTCACCGAAAATAGGGTGTATCTAGGTCTAATTCCGTAATAGGAACACAGAACCGCGACCCGTCAACTAATGTTCAAATCTGGGTTCGATCCGTTATCTTGCCTGAGACGACCAGTTCCTTCTTAATGACAACTCTACTGGATACTAGTATTTTTCCCACACAACCTTTAACAACAGGCATATCGGTAGATCCGAGAATCCTGACATTTCATGATAAACTCAGTTTAGGTATTTCTGTGACCACTGTGGCCACTTGTCGATTCTGTTTGTCGCTAGATTTATTCATGGCATTAAGCTTGGTTCTCCCAGCTGCTCTTTTCCTCGATGCACCCTCTCTTGTATTCATGAAATCTGTCAGACTTTGAATGCAGCAATGTAGTACATGTAACTGATCCCTGAGAATAAGGTCTTTAAACGTCACACAAGTCTTTTCCGTCTTGGTCATTTCACTTCATATCTTGGGATAGCTACCTCTTCCGTTAACTCGAATATCTGGAGCAACGCCTCCATGAGTTCGTCAAAGTCTAAAGATTGTTCCACATTCCACACCAAGGGCTTTACCTTTGGAAAGCGCACCCATGTAAGCTTCCCACTGCTCTCTGTTCAAATTCTGGGCAGTTGCATAACTTTGTAGGTAAGCATCCATGCTATCCTTGTCTTCCTTAAAAGATGGCATCTTTGGTCATCGTTGTACTGAATCTTCCTTTGTCGTATAACGTGCTTTACTCAGCTTGATGTAGCTCTATTTTACGTTGGTGATCATTGTTAGCTCGCTCTTCAGCTCTTGCTTTTTCTCTGTTCGTCTAAACTTGCTTGTTTAATCATGAAGTTCTTCCTTTCCAGTTCCCTCGCTGCCTCAATTCTCCTTTGTTCTACGAAGAATTTCTTCTTTTCATTTTCCATGTTGATGGCTATTTCTGCGTCTCCCACTGCCTGCTTTTCATCTCTGATAAGTTTTCCCTGTTCTCATGCTTTAGCCTGTTCTTTTCTAACGAAAACCTGTAGCTTGTCGCCATCGTAGCCCAGTTCGTTTTCTATAGCGATAAGCTAATATATGGTTGCCATAGTAACAGTTCAACAACAAAGGTAGGAACAATACAATATTACTGATCATTCACCTTGGGTACCTGATCATAACGTCTCCGTTAACTGTCCACTAAACATATCTACAATACTCATTAACATACATACACATAGATATTTTCACACATTGATTTACATACAAAAGTTCACAATTTCAAGTAAGCCGGCTCACTGTATGGTACCAGTCTATGTTCCTTGTATACACCAATTAACAGTTACGGTGCTGTCTGTTCCTGTCTGAACTGAATGGCATACTGGACCAATAGTCCTCTGCTGGGTGACAACTGTTTCAGTATGGTTGACACAGCTGATCAACCGTAGCCTTCATTACCGGTTGAAATCGATGATGCGCGCTATGCGCTTCTCTCGAACCCTAGCGTCCACTAGGCGTTCAATATCAGCAAAGATCTGGCTGATCTGTGAGTGACCGTGACTTGCCAGCTGTGGATAATCTGTGACTGACCTTGACCCGTAACGTCCGTCAACTGACCAAATTGTTCGTAATAACAATAACACTGGTCATGCACACACATATATAGATATATAATCATACGATCAACATAAACAGCACGAGACAAAACATGCGATCGTGACAATTTATTTGTTGCAACTGGCTGGTAAAGTTTGGAATCCCTGCGAAGGGTAAAGATATCTTTATGCTTTTTGTGAAATGGAAAAGTCAGAAGAGAGCTGCGATGAAATATTTATTTATGCACGGCATGTCACCCAATGAAATTCATGAAGACATCGAAAATATTCTTGGTGATGACTGTCCTTCATTTTCAATTAGTAATAATTGGACTGGTGTGTTCAAGCGAGGGAGAACCAGCACTGAAGATGCAACTACTTATCTTCAAGTTGATGTTGTGGATTGTATGGTGATAAATGACAGAGGAGTAACCATCCATCATATTTCTGATACCGGAAATGTGTCTGATGTCAATCACATTAACCAACTTTCGGCAGGATAGGTTCCAAGAATATTGACACCAGACCAACAGTTGACTGGGTTGGATATATCGAGAACACTTTTGGCACGTTTTCAGCAACCAAGACAATTTTCTGAAGGAAACCGTGAGCCAGGATGAGACAGGGGTTACTCATTTTGATCTTGAGTCACCCTGCAATCAATGCATTGGAAACATCAAGGCTCATTTCTGCTAAAGAAATTTAAGAGCACAACATCGGTTTGAAAGGTTAAAACATCTGTGATTTGGGATTATAAAGGTATAATCATGGTAGATTATCTTCAAAAAGGTTAAACCATCACTGGGCAGTAGTATACTGCTGAATTAGAGGAACTGTTGACGAATACCAGAGAGGAATGCTCAGATCAGGTATCCTCTTGATTCGGGATAATGCACCTGCCCACACCTCACAAGTTGCATCAGCTGCAGCTGCTGAGTGTGACTTTGACCTTCTTTCCCATCCCCCATATTCCTCAGAGTTTTATTATTTTTTTAAACTCAAATCAGAACTGCGATGGAGGCATTCTGACAGTGATGATGTGGTAATTAGGTGCTGTTGAGGCATTTTTTAATCCTCACGATGAAAAGTTCTGCCGAGATGGTATGATAAATTTGAGCATCGCTAAAAAGGCATTGAATGCAAGGATGATTATGCTGACAAAAAGGCTATTTAAATTGTACCTCCGGATCGGTCTATGATATTAGGCCAGACATTTTCGCATTTGCCCTCGTATATTGTCATACATGATTCATATCGACATAATATCACTACTAGACATAAATGTGTCTCACGTGTAAGTCATTGCCATGTAACCTATAAAAACAACGTTTGTAACATTGACAACGGTCAGTGCTAAGGTAAGAAAACCTTATTTTTCTTCAAAGTAGTTATTTTGCTTATGAAACTTTGATGAGTAAGATAAAAGGTAAATTGACAATGACCTGAAGGAGTTTATGTTAAGATATTCAATATAATTACACTGTAGTTTTAATGATAGTGGTTTCATAATATTCAACAATATCAAGGAAGAAATAAACGTAGGTGCACAAACGTACACACACGATCCATACCATAGATCTCACACCATATGTTATAGTTTGTTGGAGTAAGATATGTCTTTACATTTTTACCAGTGACATATTGAAAAAAAATATCATTAAAGTGAATATGTTTGGGTTTTTTTTTTATCAATTTTGCTGATTTGACCCGCGAAAACACTGATCATAAAATACCATAAAAAAATCACCAATCTGAAATCCTGGCATTATGCAAGTGGTCCATGCCTCAAGAGCATCAGCCTATTCTACTGTCTATAATAATAATCTGTTATCTATCATGGGTGAACTGTTTTCTAAGGAAAGCACAACGTATAATTCAACAGTTAACTTTCATGTTCCAATATGGAAGCCACCAGATTATGCTGGCCAGCTATTCTGACAATTTGATCGGAGAACAATTACATGTATGTCATGTCGGCGTCTCCAAGTTTAAAGTTATCAAATTACGCTAGAAAAATGTTAGACCAACAATCTCGTAGTAACATGTTAATTGATCGTTTTTTATAGCATATGGTTATGTTGTAATGACGTGTTAATTATCTTGTTATCACGACATGAAGTAAGACTCACCGCATGATCGATTGCTTTACTTAAATTATCTTAATTGTGAAAAGTATGATAGTCAAAACGTACTTTCTATGTTGTCATAGGATTATGCTGATAAGAACAAATTATTTTTGTAATTGGTCTATTTGGTAATAAAATGTTTTGTTAAGCGATGGTGACTATTATGATCAAGGACCAAAACATCTAGATTTGTAATTGTGACATCTGATTAAGATTCTGTGAGGACATTATTGTTGTTTTTTTTTATTCTAGAATGTGTAGCAGGACTATATGGCACTGAATGTAACCAGTCTTGTCCTGTCAACTGTCAAGATACTTTATGTCACAGAAGTAGCGGAGAATGCGAAGGTACGATCGTTTGGTTGTATCATTGTTTACCTAACTTGGAAATGACTTGAAACTTTTTTTCTATACTTTATTTAAAACTTGGGAAGATACTGGGATGGTATTTAAAGCCTGCGCTTATACATCATCAGTTCCTTGCAAGAAACGTTTTATCAATAGAAAATCAATGTGAGCAAATATTGATATCCCTTAATCACTTGAACATATCAATAGAAATATATAAATAAGTAACTAAATAAAACGAGAATATCTTTTAATCAGTTTTGATATGCCATGACTTTAAAAAAATAAATAATGGTACATGATACATTGGTAAGTAGGTAACATGATAACAAAATGATGAGAACTTGTTCATACTGAGGAATCAATATTTTGAGTTCGGAACTTGTAAGCATAATTCGGAGTAAAATATTTTCTTTGTAAAAACACATTGATCCAATGAAAAATTGTTTGATCAGGTATTTTTAGCTTTATCTTTTTGGATTCATTTGAATATCAAAATAATGGTAAATTATTTATTTTGAAAACATATCATATCCAAGTGCACATACTTACTTGGTCGTATTCTCCTCGAAGTTATCGAGGGTGCCCATCTAAATCTTTCCTTTTTTATCATAATTGTCATTGCTTCATTAATTTTGACATGAAAACACCGTTTTATAAGGTGCCGCCTATATTTTTTTTTTATTCTGAATCCTACTAAGCAATATAACATGTACAGAACCAGTTATTCTGTATACTTTTTGGCATTTGAGTATGCTTGTGCTTGTAGTGTGTGCAGCCGGTTTTTATGGCAGCCAATGTGTAAAGTCGTGTGGCAAATGTCGAGGGGTGAGTTGTGACAAGAGCACTGGGGACTGTACGACAGGGTGTACAGATGGATGGACTGGAAACAAATGTGACACCAATGGTAATATTCACATGATATCCCTACAATACATATATGTGACTTGATCCTCTCAAATCAATTTCTTAGAGTGACTTCTTCAGTATTTCATTTATTTATATTCAACCCTTTGTGTAGAATATAATAACAAAAAATCACCCCAATCTGAAAAATGAAAGGAGGGACAATAACAAGAAAAAAAACACAAACGGAAAATGCATGACATACGCAGTGAAACTTCATTACTTTTTATGCTACAGTGATAACTATAACGAATGAAGACGCCGCTGTCGGGATAGGCATCGGATCTGGATTGGTTTTATTGGCTCTGGTCATCTTGGTCATTTTACTTGTCAGACGTCGGACGATGACGCGCGGCGACACCACAGGTTCTTCTCATATGACAGATATATCAATGTCGAGAACTGCGATAGAGCTAAAAGAAAATCAAGGTAAACATCAACTTCCTTTGTACATTCACATACGAATTATTTAACCTTTAAAGCTAATGTTTAAAACATGAGGGTTTACAATGAAAAACTACTACAATGAAAGTTTCCAAATGAATTTATATCTGAAAAGGAAACGCGATACTTTGAGTACACATTGTTTCCCCTTTTGAACCAACGTCCGACGGTGTTAGGATATTTCAATCTTACGGCTCATTAGCTCATGTTAATATCATATATTTTCCAGATAATACCTACGACGAAATAGCAACGTGTAACAAGGAACAAATCATTGCGCAGATTCCACACAATGAGGCAAATTATGAACAGCTTGGACGCAGGGAGGTGGAAATTCCAAATGTATACGAGACAACAGATATTGACAAGGAAACATAGGGAAATGCTTCTTGTAAACTGGATAGCTTGATCATTCAACACAACGTAACCTTACTACTTGAACTAAATTACGCACATATACCTTTTGTTTTGATAAATTCGTCTCCTAACTTCACAGAATAAGTACGTAGGTAATGAACATTGACAGTATTGTAGATTGTTTATGTTCAGTTGCAAATTCTTGTATGCTTTTTCATTTTTCACAAATCGGATTGTTAGTTTTGTGAACCCAAGCAAGTATCGTATATGCTGTCAGTGTTAAGGTTAAATATATTTTGTATACTTAGTATTTCGTCGTTCTGTACAGCATTTTATATATTTGTATTCATCGCAGTTAACCATTGCAGTGAACTTAATACATACTTTGTCATTAACCGATCCCGGAAGGTATTTTGAGAAATTATTGTTTGGGAGTAAAAGTATAAGTAGCTTTGAGCAAGTTTTCGAGCAGTGTTAGATAAGCACACAGTTGACAGATGGTTGATCAGTAATACTGTTATATGAAGCATGCACATTGCATCGAATAAAATATATAGTTATCTTGATGGGATCAAAAAAATAGTTTGATCGAGGGGAGAGGTGCATGTCTAGGTGTTTTTTTGTACAGTGTTGGACGATAATCGAAATGCTTTTGACTATGTTAAGAATGCATTGAATCAATTTTAAATTGTTGAACAGTTTGAATATATTTGAATAAGCGTATTTGCAATGTAACTCGAATTTGAGAATAATTGAAAGAAAATATACATATATTAAATCCTACAGGTTCATTCAGATATGTTTGTCACTTGCTTTGCACCATTGTATGAAGACGTGATTTTATCGTTTAAAATATAGCATTTTTAAATATAGCATTAATTTGCAAGGGATGCTGTAGCATATGAAAACACACATTGTTGATATATTGATTCCATCGAAATCGTCCTGTAAAATAAGAATAGGATAGCTTAATTGATATGTGTGCTTTGTTTTAATTGCAAAAAAATATCGTACTATTCATCTCTCAAAAAAAAAATTCATGTATGCGTTTAGCTTTTAATGTCATTTTCGTAGTTTGCGTGGGAAATATCCAAACCCTGAATCTATACGTACGAAGTTTTCTCAGATTATCGATTGCCCATGGACCGCAAAGAGACACATTTTCCATTTAATATTAACTTTTCTCCACTTATTATGATATAGGTAAGATGTTATTTGTCTAACAAAACATTTTACAATAATAATTGTCATTCCCTATACGTTGAAACATATAAATGGTGTTATGGTATATCTTAATGATCTGTACCTACACATTGGTGAATCATTTAAATTATTTAAATTATATAACTGGATGGAAATATCAATAACATATACGTTAAGGGTTATCGCACACACTGCCCAAAACTGCAAATATGCATTAGAAACATTGCTCCATTATGCCTTAATCTCTGATACATGTAATCAATAAATACGTTCGGAAAATAAAAAAAAGGAATACATAAATAATAAAATAATCCACTCCGGTGCTCTGAGTCAAAAGCAACGGAGCTAAACAAGGATTCAACAGTGGACCGTCCATCAGCATAGTGTTACTCTAACTAACTAAGGTTACTGGCTACAGTAGTTGTGCCCAGGTGTTGTCGACCAAGAATCATAAAATATCCAAATTAAGATGAACGGAATCGAACTCTACGTGGACTTTAGGTTTTTTGGTGTGGTTTTTTTTCTCAAGTAGGATAAAGTTACTTAAAACTGACTTGACGAATGCTTTATTCTTGTATGTGCTTCCCATGGCATGGGCACTAGTTTGGTTCCACGCAAGGGACTGTTGTTTTGTTTAAAACAAAGATATCAAAGGCATTTAATGTCAAAACAGATATTATCAACAGATATGCTACGCCATTAGGCATTTGATGTACGACACCTTATTAAAAGCATGATTGATTGCAACTGTTCACCTAAATACTTACGTACACCACGTGCTATCTTGTCTGGTCGCCAAAATTAATTTTCTTGCACCTTAGACGCATATACTCCGCGTCAAAACCCGTGCTAGGATTTTCGTTCTGGTCTTATATCTGTTAATATCTTAACGCGAACTTTTAAAAGCGACGTATTAATCCGTGCCTTAACGGAAATTGTATACATTGTATGCATTATTCATATCCTGTTTTGTCGTTGTATGCATTGTTTTGATGTTGTTATATTAATGATGTTGCAGATAAAATATAATGTACATGGTGAAGTACGGTGTCTTCTTTGTGAGAACAGACAACAGGTTAATTTGTTTACTTTGTCATGCAGATTTAGTAGTGTAGAGACCATGTTAATTTGGAGTCCCACGACGAGATAGTTGTCATCATAAGCGGGAAAAAACGAAAGCAAAAATTCGATCTCGGAGTTTCGAGAAAAAAAAGTGTCTGTTACTGAGCGAGATCGGGCTAAATATCTCTAATATTCCATGTTACAGAGTCTAAGCCCACGACTTAGATAACCCGATCTCGCCTGACACTGATATTACTGAAATTCATTGGAAGTCTTAGTTGAACAAAGTCACAGAACGCGGTCATTTTTGTAGATTGTGACGTATCCTCAGTATATAGATTTCCAGTTACAACATACCAAGCTATACCATAGTTGTATGGGTATATGGAGAAAAAAAAAATCTGAAGGAGGACCACGTCTCTTGTAGCGTTTGCCTTTAGTCGACAATGACCATCCTACATGTGTTAATGATGTAATTACATTTTTATTATCATTTGTAGATTTCTTATGATGTTTTTAATTTGACTAATATTAATTAATACTTGACAGCAACTGTAATAAAAACAATATTAAAATAGCATTTAATCATCTTTTTGTTTATCAATCGTCTTGTTTGAGAGTAAGCAAAATATAACTTTATAAAATATTTTTTTGACAAACAAACAAAAGAAATAATGTACATGATATATCTTAATCTTAATGTTTGATCGTCGTCCATCGTTTAAGACGAGAAATGTGTATTGTCCGCTGCTTCATTCGGTCCTTGCTGTGGTGTCTAACGCATTATACCCTAATATGGTGTCTACTGATTATGGAATATTGGGGGCACTGAGAAGACTTGTGATATCTCTAAAATCATGATGTGGTATGAGGTGACTAATATTCCTCCGCATCGAAAAAATATAAGTCAACCCAAAGTAGTTTGAAGTTCTCAAAGACAGAACTATGTTGGTAATCAAAACTGATAAGAAAATGCTTAGATATTCATATATCAAAATCCCGAATTAGATTCTGATGGCGACCTTAAAATGTGCCAGTTGTCTTTAACAAGTTATATCCTTCGAAGCTTTATTGTAAATTTGTCAATCATGAGGGTACACTAAACAACTCGCCGGATATGATGTTTACCTGCCTAATACACATGACTGAGCATCAAGTAACAGGTGTTACATTGGCACGTCAATTGGCTAAGCGTCATTGTCCGCGACACAGTACGTCCGGTATCTGACCATCTACATTGACCGTCGAGTGAAAGCCAAAGCATGGTATTCGAATGATGCCGTGTCAATAACATAGTATCGCATATGTTACTTAATTTATAGTTTTGATTGATAATGTATTACACCTTTTCAACTCAATATTTTACGGAATTTGTGTTTAATATGTTGATATTATTTTTTATTTACATTATGTATGCTTAGACCCATTGATACAAATTCCATTCATAAATGCAAAGCACAGGTGTTCATAGAATCTCAGCACGTGACCTGGTGAAAAACCTAGTAACCTGATCACACTGCATATTTATACACTACAAAAACTACTCACTCGGAACATACGACCTAGATGCCTAATTATTACATCATAAAATAAACTTGAATTTTATTTGTGTGGTATGAATACATAATTTGCATGCTGACAATTAATATTTTAAAAAAGTCCACACCTCAGCGTTAACGGAGGTTACACTGTCGTCTGATGCATCTGTCAAAATTAACGTCCCAAAACAATTAAGCTGTCAGCTGGACACCTTTTGAGCTGGAACTACCCGATAACCAAGATATATCAGCCGATGAAAGTACAGATGTTTATTTCTATTTTTCAATCATTAAATTGAAATCAGCACAAGACATTGAGGTAGAACTTGCTACGAGTGCTGACTCCGGTATCCCATCCCCTGGGCAGCCGGTTCGGAGTGACCCCCGGCCCCCTCATCAATCACCTGTCGACAGATTAGTACCTTCCTGGTTTAAAAAGGTTACAGAGGAGGAGTGGAAATCCCTTTAAGATGCCAACCATTCTTTAGCAACAAGGAGAAATACACAATGAAGATTATTTTTATTCCAAGGTAATAATTCATTTATCCCCCCCCCCTCATGTTTAAAACTAACGGACGTTACTGTACTGTTTCCGCTGATGCTCTTGATGTTGTTGAAAGTTATCTTTCCGTATAACTGCATAATAACAAGTATTAATACTGATAAAGTAAATGTGGTTGTTAATTTTGATTACACAAGCAATCCAAAGCAATTCACAATTACACAGAAGACATTCTTATTTTGTAGAATGGACCGTGGACACGTCTTGGGAGCAATATGATGGTCGAGTTCTGCTTGCAACGTCCAGTTTTGACCAATGAAATATCGGGGAAGCCCCGCGTAAATTTAGCGCAGATCTATTTATAAATGTCAGGTAGTTGTTTCGAAAGTGAGGTAGTGCAGATAACAACAATAGCACGCCATCATGTGCTATGTCGTATTCAACTAGCGGACAAGACAGCAATACTTTACGTAAATAATTGTTTTCAAAGGTCATGTTTGATGCAAGTTTAGTATTCCGACCTATATGTTGTTGTTATATATAACGGAATTGATTCCCTGTGCCTGTCATGACTTTTGCACCCATCTTTTTCTTTCGCCGCGATGTTTACATTTGGTCATGTTGATGACGCACGTGCGGTAAAAATGCATCACCGATCTTGGTCAATTGAGAGTTTTCGACTGTCAGGTGACGATTTAGGATTTCTTTAATATAATTATCTTTTTTACTCTTAGGGAGTGAATTTCAGCAAGATTTGAATCGGTATATTTCGTAAGAAGGTATTTTAAATATGTGTATGCCATTTTAGCAAATATGACCTTTATTCCCCGACCAGCCCATTTCAACAAAACGTAGAACAAGAACACTTTGCAACATTGTTTTGTATATCGAAGTATTTCATGGTATGGCTGAACATGGACCTTTCTCTTCTGTACAACTCATTTCCCGTAGATGAATAAACCAGACAATGTATTATCCAATTGAAACGCCACGATAACTTTAGGAATCGCTAAAGGTATTCAACATAAATAAACGTATACATTTTAATATCTACATGTTCGGTTCAAACCTTTATCATATTTCAGACTGTACTGATGGGTTACATGGACCAGTCTGTACACAATGTCCTGTTGGCGGTAGTAGCAATACATCCGACAAACCTGTGGGACATTGTGTTCGTAAGTAGTGTTCATTATCAACTTTCAGAAAGCCACTGAGATACACGCAATGTTAAATGATATCTAATGTACTTGGTCGGCCGTTCAAACTTTACAATATAATGATTACCGAACGATGCCTTCCAAGCACTGTAAACTGATGTGATGAGGATTGACAATTTTTCATTACTGATGAAATATGTTTCCCTGTCAAAGAGTTTAAGTATATATAATGCTTAAGTGTTTACTACATATAAGACATTTTCATCAGATTAAAACAGAGTAACAGAGTTGAAGTGTTACTTGTCAATAGTTAATTGACCAATAGGCGAAAATAACGAGATGAAATCGTTTAGCCCGAAAATACAACACTACTTTTTATCAGTTTGTTTTGGAAATAATAAATATAATGTAATAAGACATCAGTGGGAAAAGCCTGTCCATCGTCGGTAGATATTCCCGAAAGAGAATGCATAGAACTATATGTAAAATCGGCATAACTTTCTGTAAATCCAAAAGGAATAAAGTTTCTTCACTGAAAAGCCACTGTTAGTTGACAAGGTTTTTGGAAATGAAAGAATAACGCTTAACATGATGGCACTTTGAAAACGCATGCATACATCTTATCCTTCGAGACTGTAAACATTATCAGCAGTCTGTTTGACAGGTGACATATATCCAGCTTCCTCTAGGATTGGTTCCTCGGTCTCGAGTAAGTGGAGCTGCCATACCCGTCGGCTCTCTGTCCCTGTAATGGGCATCTTTTGGACATTGAACTCGGTGGGTCTTGTCATAGTTCCTTGAGACCTTCATCCATGTTCACTACTGGTCTCAGCCCAATGCATACTGGTGTTAGGCAACGTACTTTGATATTACTTTACCTGTCTAACTTATTAAAAGTCATTTCCATTTAATCGTTGAAACCTATTTCTTTACAATCATAAACGCCATTGCAATACTGAAGTAGGTTATCTTCCCTATACCATCACATAACTGTACTAAGATTACTTCAATGATATTGAA